GGAGAACTTGCAAATAAAGTAAGTGAAATAATAAAAATGTGGAGAGAAAGGTCTAAAAACATCCCTGTATTACAGGTAGATGTAATAGGGGAAAGCAAGCACACATAAAAAACAAAGTAGAAGGGAAAGGCCACAGTGCTCTATTGCTTTACAAACCGTACTTAATCTGAGCACTGCCCAGGCTGATGTATATCAGCCTTTCTACAGGAGAGATAACAAAATAACAATGGAAGCAACATTTGGGGGAAGGGTTGAATAAAATCACTTACAACAAATCTGTAGGGCATAGCAAGATTCTCAGTGCTCAAAACCTTTCTTCTCCCCAAAGCTTGTCAAAGCTCCTTCCAGTTTAATAGGCTCCTGGTCTGCAAAATGTTTGAGTCATTACCTTTCCAAAGGAGCGTCTGAACCTTACTTTTTTAAAGAGGTATTTTGTGGCCACCCTTGTATCATCTCCCCTAAAGTAAAAATATCCTACATACCAACCACGTCCCCCAAACCACCCTCTTTATCTGATGCCCTGAAGCATGAAGTGTCACAAGCGTATGATTAAGGCATAGCCTGGCAAGGCCAAAGAAAACAGGTATGCCACAAAGTGCAAACCCACAAACTGTGCTACTGAGATGTATCGTTTTACAACCAGTTGCAATGTTCTCCACTTCGGTACTGACCAAATATGCGCAGTGGCTCTGCAACGTCATCACCCAGCCCTGATCTGGACCCTTTATTTGAAAGCTGCTTTGAGGGATTCAGTGCTTCTGTGTTTTCTTAAACAGCAAACAAACCCAGAGTTTAACATTCCTTGAATTCAAACACTAGTACACACCTTATTTAAATCAGTTGACTTTTGTTTGTTCCAGAAGCAAGCACCTCCCAATACAGGTAATACAGTATTTTAAAAACAGAAATGCATCGCGTTACAAGCAACTTAAAAACAACTCATTAAAAATGATAAACGAGAAGTGGTGAGTGAAAGAAATAGTTGGCACAAATGTAAAAGCCCATTAGGCAATAAGGTTGGTAATCCTTATTTACATTCTCACACTCTTTTTTCAGAAAGACAGTGCCCATGCACAAGTTACTGAGGCTCAGGGCCTCAACTAACATTACATACCTAGCCCACACTGGAACCAATGTGTCCTTGTCACTTCATAGATTAATAAAATGTGACAAGTATTTGTTACAAGTTCGTGAGATGTTATTGGAATCACTCTTACATCTATAAAAATGAAATATGAATGTTCTGCAATACCATAAGTGTGAATTAGCAGCTAATTCAACTTCAGTTTAATATCGGTAAGCCAGTGATTTAAAAGTTTGATTCCTCAGACATATCCACACAGCTCCTGAAACACATGACTTTCATAATTACTTAAATGCAAAAGCTGTCAATACTAGGTCTCAAAAAAAAGAAAAAAGTGTTTTCTGCCAAAAGAGATGCATTGAAAAGAAAGACCTAAGTTTGCTTTAATATACCCTCAAATGAACACATGCCACCTGTTCAGTGAATATAATTTCCCAAGAAGAAACAAGTCAATTATACATACAATCTGAGGTCTTCAAAGCTGCCTGGGAGAGTAACACTGCTCATTCCAGTGACAGCTGTGGGCCACAGTCCCCTATGGCAAGCTTTGAAAACTCTCAGCTTTACAGATCAATTGGCAGTAAGATTCTCATTCTTTGTAAAGCCTCCTGGATATTCTTTAATTTGTAACATGCCTGAAATGCAGTATATCTGAGACAGATGATGCTGAAGCACTACAGACTCATAGGGGAAGCAGCACTTTATTAAAGAGACAGCAATCCTCCCTATTGACTTACGAGTATGTATTTTCCAGTTTAATTCTTCACTGTTCACCAAAACCAGCACCAGAAACAGACAAAGTCCAGCAGTGGCTTTGCCATGCACATTGCACTTGTGTGTCCTTTCACTGCCACTCAGTTTTACAATATGCTGTATATAAAGACTTGAATTGCAGTTAAAAACTGAATTAACTAAATGAAGAAATGCCCTTCTCCTGGGAGAAACAGTGACTACTTGGCACAGCTGACCTGTGAATAGCTGGTGCTCCCCTACTGGTGGCCCCTAATCTGAGGTCAAGAGACAGCCTGGATAGCACTGGGAGTTTTACTGGTGAGGAAGGCTGCTTTGCTCTTTGTTTTGTTTTTCATTCAAACACCCCACCCAGGTGGGGGGATTCTGTGCCATGCTGCCTGAGTGATAGGAAGACTGTGCAGCAGTCACTAGGACAGGAGCTCTCTCTGAGAGGCATGCTATTCAGCTGTGACCTATGAATATTGTATGGCATTAATTTTCATATAACTTGTTGCTACGAATATTGAGTTTCACTGATTTCCATATAATTCACTAGACGAGAGGTCCAACGAAGCAACAGATTCAGCATCCATCCTAAGTGTCCAACCATCTACATGCTATTGGAAAGTAAACTCTGCTAAGAATCACGCAACTTCAAAAAGGCAAACAGAAATATTAAAAGCTTTGAAAGATTCAACACTCTCCACCCCAGACACACAGCATCATTTGCACTCCCACAGAAGTCCTTTAAGCTACTTTAGAAAAAGCCCAGACTAAGGAAAAGGTGACACACTCTTTACTACTTACTACACCTCTCTACACTGCCTTGCTAAGAAAGGGAACACAGAATTAAAAGTTGTCTGTGAAGGAGAAAATACCTCAGGATTTCCCAGAACATACGGGTGTAATTCAGCTCAGGGAGGCTTCCTGAAAAGCTTTTTTTTTTTTTTTTTAGACTTTGTGCACTTAAAAAGAATTACTACTTTTTACAGATGCTGTAAAGTTTAACTGGCTGATTTTATAAGGTGGATCAAGAACTGACTTTTCTCTTCCTATTCCTAGATTATGTTTAATATCCCGACTAACTTACTCTACAGACCATATAAAATATTGGATGCTATACCAGGAATCCATCATACCTGTACACTGAACTGCCATCTCCCCAGCAATAGCTACAGAATACAATTCTCCCGCATTGCCAGGTACGGAAACTGCCTGCTGGTAATATCCCACGTCCCCTTGAATTTGAGCTCTCACACAAAGCAACTTTTTTCCCATAGTAACAACTTCTCTCAATCACTTCTCTTGTTCAAGAAGCCAAGCAATTTAGGGGAGGGAACTGTCACATTCAAATCCAGAGCAAGCAGAATGACTGCTAAATATTTAGAGACACTTAAACTGGGAGGTGAAGGAGGAACAGCAATGGCAACATTAATCTGATGGCTTTCTGCCTGTATTTCAAGACATGATAGCAATTATTTGCTGGTAAGCCCTTGCCTCATTCAGAACACAGAACATGTTTACTCTGCAGACTCTGCAAAGAAGAGGGTCATAGCCTACAGGTTGTCCTGCTTATTAAGTAGGTAATCTGCTACAGTAAGTGAGTTAAGATAGTTTACATGTCTGAAAATGCCCTGGAGAAATGGCTTCTATTCATCTCTGCTACATAGTTCCTGTGATGCTGGTTATTGTCTTCTCCTGAACTTGTTTTCCTGTTGAAGAACCCAAGACCTGACCTGCATAAGCACTGCCACCCAAGCCAAGTGGACAACCAAAGTGATGAAATGCTAGAATGCCAAATACTCTAGGGAAAAAAATAATGTAGAAGCTAAAACCCGCAACTTCAGCATCCAAACTCAGTGGAACTTAACTCTTCTGCCTTAGCTCCCCACCTATAGGAGAGTAACACCAGCTCCTTGTTCTGCAGAAGCCATCAGAAAAGACGAATGGTTATAAAAGGCTTCTATTCCAACAAAAGGATGAGGTAATTAGTAATTCTGTCCTCAGACGAGGTTTTGATTAGCTCCTGTGTGTAGGCAACAAGACTTCATCCTAAAATGCAAAACTGGCAGCATGAAGCCATGTTTTGAAGGACACCATGGAGCAAAACAGTCACGACCACAATGCCATTGCTTTCACTTAAGCAATAGGCACATGGTGGAAATTTCCTCCCCTGCCCTTTCTGTCAGTCTGCTTTAACTGGCAGCTGTCACCACTCCCACTACACAGGAAAATGAAGAGGTCCTCAGAAGAGGGAGCGAAACCATGAGTCGCCCCCAGGGAGAGGATCAAAGAAGGGCTTCCCAAAAAAGTGCACGTCTGGAGTCACCTCACCTTCCTCAGTGCCAAATGCTCCTCAAGGAGGATGGTAGGTAGGCAGGTTGGCCAGACACCCAAGATTAAGCACAGCTGTGTTACACGGATTAGGAGGAGCGCATCACTAATTGTTATTTTGATTACTGCAGGCAGCCCCAGCGCAGTGCGGGTTGCTTAGCAACATTTCTCAGTCCTTGCGAGAGCCAGCATCCCAGAGCCAGCATCCATTTCGGAGGTAGCCTCAAGGAGCAACACACTGGTGTAAGCAAGCAGGGAATGTGGTCCACAGCACCTTCCTCTCGCACTGCAGGGGAAGCCTGGCATCCAAGATGCCAAATCTCAGTTTCATTTACATTTATTGTACTTCCAATAAACCGCACAATCACCTTTAACATCCTCAACTAAAACTGTATCAGAAACACAAGCAAGTCTTACAGGGTGCACACGGTAATTAACATTTAGTTCAGAAGCATTAGAGAAAAAGAATCAATCCTGCCAATTACCAACTGGAAGATTAAGTACTACTTGTATCAGTAAACACGCCTGATTAGCTTGGAAAAGAGTTACGTAAAAATGACATAAACCAACATTGTGTACTTGGGGAAAGTAGCTCTGAAGGCCTGGACTCAGGCTACTTGTAACATGACGACTAAACACTAACAATAAAGCCGACACCACACAAAAGACACAAAATACTTGAAGCAGAACACACACACGCAGAAACCGCCACACACCACTGCCCCGAGATCACAGGCATTACAGGCATACTCCCAAAAAGCACAAGGAAGACCAAACAATGAGAGTTATTTATGTACATTTTAAAAAAAGCCCACTTAAAGGGCTTTTAGGAAAAAGGCATTGTACATACCCTCCTCTTCTGTGGCGCTCCCTGTGCTTGGAGATTTTGTAAGGTAGAGACCTTTCTCCCAGGTTTTCTAGGCTCCTCACAATGGCTCCTCTCTCCATAAGAGCCTCAACAGTGCGCTTCAGCAGAGCTGCAGTCTCAGGCTTTAAAAGAAAAAAGAAAGTGGGAAATGTACATAAATCTGATTATTCTTATTATGTGATTAAAAGGACACCTGTACTTGCATGGCACAGCACTGGAAAAGATCATTCCATAACCTGGGAGAGCAAAGTGGAAGCAGCAGACGACATCCTCCTTAGGAAGAAAGCCTTTAAGAACAAACAGACAATTCTTCCATGAATTATGGCAACAGGAAAGTTTCCAACAATTCAAAGTTTCCCAACAACAACAGGAAAAATAAAATAGTTAATGGATTTAACTTACCTGGTATCACTTTGGCTGCCACTGGCACAAGTGTAAGTAAATATATGTGGCAAAGACCAATTATGCATTGGCAACAGTTTTAAGGTCCCTGGACCATCTATGCTCACTGTTCACAACTGCAGTGAACTGTGTGGAGGGAATACTAACCTGTGGCCTGCTACAGAGACAACAGTTAGCACCATATTCATTTCATGTTGTCCTTTCAACACGTGTGTAATAGATATTTGCACGTGTGTAATAGATATTTGGACTCATTGCTAAATCATTGCACATCTCATTACTTTTACCTAGCTGACATCCAAGCCTTTTTAAGACTTAAGGAGCTGACATGCAGTAATTAGTCTAACATACAGAGATTTCACTCCTTAGAAAAACAAGTCTGAGGCAGCCAAAAAACAGTAGTAAAACAGATGCAATGTTTTTTTGCTCACTGTGTGTCAGGGCTCTTTAGAGCGCTGAATCATTTTGGTAATGACACTCAACAATATCTATAAAAATGTTAATAAAGTACGAATTAGAATGTTTTGAAGACAACAGCAAACTTACATGCTCTCAGCAACAAGAAGTATTTTAAGAAACGGATCTCCTACAGAGAAAGGATGCTAAACGGATGTCCAGCTAAACACAAACTGCATAGCCTTCTTCTGTGTACCTTGCAACATTTCATATCAAGATACATTCCCAAGTCTACTTGTCCAGGAAGACGGCAACAGCTGTAAAGGAAAAAGTAATTAAGAGCTGATTTTTCAGCTTTATTCAGATTTCATTTTGTTAAATCATACCACCGTAATAATTTCACTTCCCATCTCAGCCACAAGAGAACTTGTGTGAGCCTTCAATCACCTTATACATAGGATGACTGAAAGTTAAGTTTCCTAATTCTCAGGTAGAGATCTACAACTTGACTAAGAAAGGGTTATTTAATGTCCAGATCTCATAATGGAAATTGCTGGAAAAAGTTGATACCAGAATCGCGAAACATGCAGCGCAGCCAATGCTCCAGCACATGAAAGTTCTCTTTCATTTTTTTGAGGATACAATAAGATATGAAAGAACTTTTAAATGCAGAACAGAGATGTTCAACATATGAGTCTCTGCAAACACTGACTGCTCTTTGAAAGACCTGAAGTACGGAGAGACTGAAACCTTTCCTTGTTTCCATGGGCTAACTGCCCTGCGGCACTCAAGGGTCAATCATGGGATCACACCTACTGCTCCTCACTATCAATCAGAAATTTTATTCCCCTCTAGCCGCACAAAAAGAGCTTAAGCAGTTATAAAGTCAGCAAAAACACCTAGGCCTTTTTTTCCAACATATGTTTAGACTGTGTTATAAAACTATTACAGAGGCCAGACAAGTATGTTTACACATCAAGAACTGTTGCTACCTTGCCAACATTCTTCAATGCATTAAAACTATTGTTTCTCACTACAGACAAACACTAAAGGTATCTCTTGTCACAGCATGAAAAGTTAGGATAAAGGGATTACACAAATCATATTTTAGTTCAAACTCGGGAATAACGCTGTTTTTCAACTGACCTAGAATTGCTGCCTCCATTACCACTTACTAGATTTTCAAATACCTTTCATGCTTAGCATGTCCTTTCCCAAAATATTTGCAGAACTAATTGGGTATTCTTACAACTCTTTTTGGCCTCTTGCCACAAAGGAAGACATTCCCACAAATGTTACAGGAGTCTCAATTTCTGAGATTTCCGAAACTCATTCCAGCTCAGCTGGGACAAAACCAGTGTGTGCAAAACTTACAAACAAAGGAGACTGATACAGATGGACAGTCAGATTGCAACCATACAGCCTTTTGCTAGAAAAACAGTGTAAAACCAATTCTGTAAAATCATGTGGGCATTCACATGCCAATGCTCCAGATGACGATGCTGACCAAGTTAATACTTTCTTTTCTCACTTCAAATCTCTCCTCTCAAATGCTTCTGCATACTAGATGCAAATAATAGAGAGTATCCAATCAAAAAAAAGGATTTCTTCAAAGACTGAATTCTTAGTCTTCTCCATACCCTCATACTTTGCATTACTTTTCATCCTTTAGTATGTCTGACAACTGCCACCAGGCAGTCATATACAGTCCCCAATCTATAAACCGAAGCAGAAGGACAAGCAAATACTGTTAGAGAAGAATTGGGAAGCAGCAGCTATGGTATGTTACTCCCTCAGTACTTTGAGCAGTACTCAAGGAGTGGGAAGTTGGCTGAGCAGTGAAATCTGTTGGCTGAACCGACAAGACTGAAGATGAGGAAAAGAATTGGGAAAAGCTAACTCAGGAGTCCAAGTAGTGTCTCGATAATAATGCCAGCAACTAGGAGAGAGCATAGAACAAAATCTCTTACTCTGCATCACACCCGCACGTTGTTTTGCTATATTAGAAAATGTTCTTTCAAACTTTTGATATTGGAGAAACATCAGTAACAGCAAGAGAAAAGGAGCAGCTCCACTTCACTTGACCACATCCTCAACACTTCACGAATGCCAAAACACAAGGGAAGAAAGGGAAGCAGAGGCTCTTTTCTTAAGACTTTCCCCATTTCTACCCATGCTCCTTATGGCTGTTTTAGCTTGACTTTCATGGCATAAGGGCGAGAGATGCTGGCCCAAACTATAGAGTGGTTTTATGTTGGTTCCATCAGTGCAGGATCTCAAACCTGTATAAATCAGGAGCTACTGATAAGACCCCCTCATTCTTTTTAAAGCAGCAGCTTCACACAGACAAGGCAAATACTAGGGTAACAGAGCTGCTGGTGATATCCATTGTTTAATCCTGTAAGAACCATTACAGAAATCTGGTTTCAAGAAAGAAAAGGAAAAGAACAACTGAGTTTGTGAAGCAGACACCAAGGTACACATTACTAACTAGAAGGTCTTCCCTTTAAAACAAGAATCTGACAACAACCATTAGGATTTTACTTACCCACATTAGTGAGGGAAAAGAGCCAATTTTAGAAAGAAAGGGCAGCTAACCTAACAGCTTTGATACTTTGTGCATTGCAGCACACCTGTAGTGCGTCCATCCCCAGACTTGAAAACACACTCCTGGAAAGCAATAGGATCTGCAATTCCTCTCCCACCATGCCTGTTGTGTGCAGTTAGGTTACAGAAGCCTCCATGGTGCTCACAATTATCACAGGAGAAATTCGTCAGGTCAATGAATAAAAATACCATTGACTGTTACTTGTCTCCCACTTGCATACAAAACGCTGATCCATAAACAGAGCTCTGTCCAAAAGATGTCTTAAGGTCTCAATCAATTAAGACCATCAGCTGTATGTCCAGCGGTGGAGTTGCCTGACCCATGCTTCTTAACAACCGTGCAGATTTAAGTTAAATGTTATCGGGTAAACTTGCTCCTCTGCATCCCCCATAGCCTCAAATTACACACAAACTTTTTGTCTCTTTTCTACATGCCAACAGATCAGCACATTCCCTGAGTGGCTGCATGTCCAACACGATGTGCAGTTTCTAAACACAATGAAGCCGAAGATCAAATCCCACGTATTTAAAAACAAAACAAAACAAAAAGAACAAGAAAAGAAAGCCACAGATTTCTACATTAAGGACTGTAAAATACTACGTGTTTTTGCAACGTCCCCACTTGTGGCCATACTTTGAAAATATAAACTAACTGTTGGTTTCGAATGCTTGTCACTGTAATCCCTCTCATTCTTCCTCTCCAAAAAAGATCATGGTTTATGATAGCTTTCCTAAAGCCGTCCAACAAACTATATATAGGCTAGCCATTGCTAACCATAATATCCACAGACACAGGTTCCTTGGTTTGCCTCAGAGCCAGACCAGTTGAGGACATAGGAAATGGTATTGCCTGGCTCCCAACCCAGGAGCCACAACATTTTTTCCTGAACAGCCAGCAGTAATTCCAGTACCACAGATGTCGGAGAGAAAAGGAGAAAATGGAAGCCAGTGCCAGGATATGCATGCCGGAGAGCAGGAAGCGCTAGCAAGAGTGCGTAAGGCCTGGTATGTAATTCTAGTGCTGGTTCCCCCTCTTGCGTGCATAGTCAAGCCAGAGTCCTTTCAACTGGCTTCACCCTTACTGAATGAACTTGGTGAACTTTGCTACTGAACTTGGTTCACTATCACTCGGCCACAGTTACCTTGTCTTAAAAAGGTATAGCCCTAGGGACCTGATGGAGTTGTGGAAGGGGAAGGATGTCACTGCACACTGTCCAAGGACTCTTCCCTCGAAAACTGCCCCGGAAGAACTGAAGGAGCGTTGTCTATACACCAAAATTCCTCACTCTTCTACCCCCACGTTTTTTAAACTTACAGCTGCCCAGAAGGAATGCGTTAACTAGCGTGTCAGCCCTGTACCTGCTGGGCAAAACAATCACAAGAGAGGTATGCTACAGCACAGACTTTCTGCGTATCACTGGCTTTCTCCATGGATGAGGATCACGGCAGCCACATTTACTGGGCGGCTGCTCTGCCAGGGAGACTCCACACAGCTGCTGATGCCACAGGAACTGCACACATTGAGATAGATCATCAGGCACCTTTAAACCAAAAGTCCAGTTCAGTTTAAAATTCCACTATCCCCATGAAGTTTTACATACCTCCAAGTGTCACACAAACCAGAGTTGAACACCATGCCCTAAGCACTTCCTTCATACCTCTGGCTCTCCTCCTCTCCTCACCAGTCTTTCAGCTTAGCATAATCACCACCCAAGTG